AGGGTCAATGCTCAAGACTGCTTGAAGGTGTACTGCTTTTTGCAATCACTAGAATTTATTTATGCTTTCTGTGGCCCACATAGATCTTTAAATACCTAGATCCTTATTTCCAGCCCTTCTCCATCTTTCCTCTCTCAGCTGTTTGAAACACTGACTAAAGAGAGGAGATCTATTTAGCACGCAAGCAGTGCAATGAAGACTGCACCAGTATTACAAACAGAAAAGCCACGTAAGTAGTCATTCAGTTTAGGAAGAATAACAAATGTCAGTCTAGTTACAGATTAATACACTCAGCAGCCCTATTAAAGCTGGCCCAGAGAAGTCTTGAAGAGCAGAATATTCTGGTCCCTATATGAAGACACAGGGATACTCCCACCTGTACTACACATCAGAATCTTACCACTGGTAAGCACTGAGGGGCTCTGGAATTCATCAAAGACTTCAGGCACAAGATGCGCCTTTTAAGACAGGGCACCACAAAGACCATGCTTCTTTTTTTCTTTTAGTAGAAGAGCTGTACTGTTTTATCCACATTACAGTTAAGATTGTCTGGTATAATACCAATTCAGGTTGGTTCCCCATATTCCGTATGTATTAACACAGTAAAACTGAACATCCATACAAGGCATTAACACATCAGAGGCAGGAATGTCAGGGTGTTGCAGTGTGCATTTTGACCTTTGATTAATTCTCATGGCAGTTAATTAACATAACAGCTTTCCTATCTGCATTGTGCACTTTAAAGTTACAAAAACCTGCAAATAACTTTCAAACATTTACACTGTAGTTTATGTGAAGCAGAAATTAACAGTGATTCACAAACCCTGTTTAAAGGTTGTGGGGATTTTTTTTTTCAAGTTAAGAACAAAGTTCATGTGTGCCTTGGAGACTGGAGACAGAAGTAATGTTAAGCAAAAACTAGTTCAGAAGGATGTACACCGCTATTTTTATTCTCTTTTTTTTTTCCCCCCTTCCAGTTTCAGCCAGCTAAGTTTACTACCTCAATACCTGCAGACAGCAAAAAGCCAATAATTTTTGTTTATTTGATTGGCTGTTGTAGAATAATACTTACATTTCTAGATAGATTACCATATGCACAGAACTACTATAGGAATTGTTGTTCATCTTTACTTCATCTTCCAACCAGTTGCAAGAATAAACAGTGTTTTTCAATGCTATAACTTACAGTCTCTCTTCTAAATTAGAAACTCCATGAGCTTGTTTTCCCATTTAGAAAGAAGCCATATAAAAAAACATCCACCATCTAATACATCTGAAGGAGATCTGGATGAAAGTCTTGCATCAAGTGATAAGCATAAGTTTATGGGAGAAAGGATATAACGGGGAGGAAAGGACTATGAGAGTACTGAATGAAGAACAAAATTTGATTAACTAGTTTGAGATAAACTATATGCATAAAAAGAATACAACAGTATAAAGTGCCTAGAATATAGATTATTATAATCTCATTCTTCATATTAGGGATATAATTTGTTCTAGATAATTCCAGCAGCTCAATGAAGTGTTTAATAACATAAACTTTTCACTCCTCTTAAGAGAGCAGCCCAGAATGCTAACTTTGAGAGCAAGCAATTAAACTGTATACAATCCAAAAGGTCATTATCCTTTCTTTTTACTTTTCATACTTTCCATAATGTATTTGTAATGGAACATATTTACTATGATTTATGATAGGGAGATCTTCCCTTATGTCTGTCCTTTCTCTCAAATCAGGTCACGAATTGTCCTGTAACGTCCAAAGGAATTTCTGACATGCATGTGCTCTCTTTTAAGAGAGGCATGTTTGTACCCTATGCAAAGTATTTAATGAAGCCATTTCTCCTCTTATTCAAAGGAACATTAAAAATATTTGTTTTAGCCCTGACCTTACCATTAAATGCTACATTCTCAAGTCTTAGCCCCTAGACAATTAAAAAAAAAAAAAAATAGTTTTAGTACATCCAGCCAACAATTTCCACATTAAAAAAAAGTCTAAATTGGAGCCATGTGGTCTCAATCAGGCAGCAAAAAAATATTTTCTTAAATGCGCAACTGCAGTATGGCCATAACCTCTCTTTTAAATCATCTTAACCAGATCTGAATCACCCTCACCACAAATGATTCGGTGGCTCTGGAATGTGCTGGGGTAGACAGAGTTGCTCTGCAATGAGGGTTGGGACATTTCCCACTTCCCTAGTGTTAAGAGAATAGTCTGCAGCAAAAGAAAAAAACCCAACCACAATAGTTCTTTAAAAGGTTACAGCCAAAACAAAAAGTGACATCACAGTTCAATCATTCAATGGAAAAAAGAAAAAAAATGCAACTACTGCCTAATAAATCAGAGCTGTGTGCCACAAAGCACAGTGAGCCGAGACAGCCAGAGAACAACTTCTCTAGCTGAAGCAAACAGAGGTACCACAAGCAGCTGGCAGATGCACGTGTAATTGCATTCGCAGAGAGCCCCTGAATCCATTCAGCCACCCAGATGTGGAGAAAGTGCAATTAAAAAACCAGAATAACCGTAATTTCAGTAACAATCTCTACATCACCTTACACTGAATTATTTCTTACCACGGGCTACCACAATATTTTTTTTTACAGATGAGTATGTACATGGGACTTTGTTAAAAGCTTATAGGCAGACCACTTAGGATCAAAAAGCACCTCTGAGGTACCTGCATTACCTTGGCGAATGCTGCTAGCCTTCACTGCTCCACTCAGGCAAGTAGGAACGACAGACACTTTTTAGCTTTCTCAGAATATCTCAGAAGGAGGCCCAAAATATTACTAACATCTAAAGTTATACTAGAGGAAGGGGAATGTAATTCTTTGGGGGTTCCTAAAAGTCAAGTTTAAGCAGCAAATGAGCAAGCTTTGCATAACTAACTGTAAGATTCTTAAATGCCACATCCTCTGTCTGCAGGCTGGAAGATAGAAATTTCAGTCTTAATCATCTAAAAAACAATTTAAACATGTGGCCAAAATGATGTGCATTTAAAACAGGAATGGGCCAGAGCCACGACGTTTGGATCCAGTTATTAACTTTCCCATACTTCATGGACGTTGGAATCCAGGGGTTTTGGTACAGGCCCATCTCTGGGGCCAAACACTCATTGCCAAACCTCACACTCAGTAGAAAATATGCTTTAACATATCAAAGCAGGAAAAACCGCATAAAGATGTCAGATTTTTCCACCACATCAATGAGAAAAAATGTCATTATAGCACCCATGTACATTATGAAACTGAAAGCAGCTGCTGAGGCAACCTGACGTGGTGCCATTGGCCGGGGGGAGCCCAACTCAGGAAACCACTATTACATTTTTAGCTCTGAAGAAGAATCTTCCCTAGTTCTAGTGTGCAATTCCAGTCCAGTGAATAACTTGCCATAAACAGAGCTAGTAACTGCTATAGGAAGAAGTGCTTGATGAGATGGTAAACAAAATGGGTATTAAACACCCCAAACACCCTACCGTATTGCGCACTATCTTGCTGAGCACTCTTTTACAGTTGTTCTATAGTAACAGAATTCAGCATATCATTTTTATCAATTACCACACCAAGCAGAGTATTCACAGGAAAGGTGGAAGTCAGAATGGGAGAGCTTTGGTTACCAGTTTCTGAATTAGAAAAACTGTTAGAGACCTCAAGCAAGCCGTTAATGGACTGTGCCTGCAGTAGCTTGCATAATCCCCCATTTGCTCACTCAGCATATTTTTCATGTGACTGGATTCACTTTCACAAATCCCCAATAAACAGCAGTGAATAAGGGGGCAGGGGAAAGGGACTCCTCAACTTGTCAACACAAACTATTGGAATAACGACTCTGAAGTAGGTAATGGGAGAAAGAGTTAAGGCAAAGGAAAGGAAACCTTTCCAATTCTCAGGGCTATGGTTGCAAGACTTTTTTTTTTTTCAGTATATTCAATCACCTGGTCCCCTTTGTCAAATTTATTACACAGTTGAATTTTTGGATTTCAAGGGTTTCTTATTTATCACTTTATTAAGATAACCCACCCAGCAAGACATAATAGCATGCTGATAACAGTGTTTATCAGTAGCTTTAAAACAAATGGGTCCCTACAGTGAATTTCCTTTGACAGCTAGATGTCATTTCTGAAAGCCAAGCGTCTGGATTAATCTGCCACTGTGCTGATCATTATAAAAAATTTCCTGAAGACAAGGCAAGGAGATGAAAAACGAAGGTCCTTGTAAGAAAGCAATGCATTCTGCTAGTAAACTTAAAATGCAGCAGTGTTAGCTCTTTTATAAAGAAAGAACAGCTAAATAATATTGCTTATTGAAAGAAATCAGATTTTCTTTTTGCAGTTCCTGTCCTCTCTCTGAGAGTCATTTATCCAAGCATACACTCTTTTCCACTGCACGTTAGCTTTCATTTGCATGCCCTAGAGCAGCAGACCCTCAGTTTGTTATTTTAAAACAGATTCACTTGACTCCTAATGCTGAAGAGGGAAGGAGGGGCACGTATGCTCTGAATGAGCGCAAATAGTTTAAAACAAGTTTATTTTGGATTCCTATAACCTAAAAAATCTTAGGAAGCATCTCACCTCTTTTTATTCCCCCATATTACTGAACTTTAGTTCTATTTGTATCCTTTGTGAAGGAAATATCTTTACTTCTCAGGTTCAGCTCTTGCACTTAAAACAAATGGGTTACTCTGCTAGTTGCAGTTACTCTATACTATACACAGTTCAAAACAAATTTTCCAGAAAACCCAATAATGCAGCCATTTAGAAAGCTTTCCAAAACTGTACAGGTACTTCAGAATTTTGCTAAAATATATACATTCTTATAATGCTTTTTGGAAAGGGAGAAGTGAAGAATATTTTACTGCTAGGCACCATTCAGAGACCACTATAACTGAGCACACACTGTATGATTCACTCACATACTTTTCCTCCCCTCCCCTGTTGTAGTAAAGCAGCTAAAACACCTTATTGTTTCTTGCATAGTTACATAGATTTAATTCTGGCACTTACCGTTGTGGAACGGATGGACCCCACCCCCCACAAAGAAGCTGATGGTCTCTGGATCCTTTTTTTCTTGACTATCCCTGGCTCTTAGCTTTGCTGCTCTAAATTCAGCTTGCAGAAGAGCACAGTAAAAAATTAATAGGACAGCCACAGCCGAGTTGCCAAATTCCAACCAGTCACGATCAGCAATGAAGACGTTCGCTCTAGTTCTGACTGATTCCAAAGAACAAAGCCTGCTGGCAGCGAGGAAGCACAGTGTAAGTCCCTTGGCTTCAGTCCAGCTGTTGCTCTTGCTTTTGCTTCAGAGTACGTGAGAGTGTTTGTGTGAGCTTGTAACGCGTGTAAGAAATGGGGGCTGGGGAAGAGGGAGGGTGTGCGTGAGGAGAGGAATGCTAGTCACATCCAAAAATAACACGAAGGAAGTAACGTCGTGGTCCGTCTACCCCCTACTCTTCCCTCTTATCGCATGCACTAAGAGCTGAGATTCTGATCTCAAGAGTAGGTAGAGAAAAAATGCCAATGTGACTTGCAGCTCGTTTGATTGCGCCACTAAACTGACTGAGGAGCTCTAAAATGACAAGGACACGTCACAAAACACATGATTTAGTAGCCACCTAATAAATGTAGATGTACTATAGTGTGCATTGCACACTGTGTGCATTTGTTCACAAACTGAAGAGAATAAACCAGAAACTACTACTGAAATTTTATTATGTGCCAGGAAAAAAAAATAGCACCACATTTGCCTTTCCAGAAGTGACTATATTCCAGTCCTAAGTATTTCTAGATAATGTTTAAGGTTGATTTTTAAAATAGCAAATGTTGCAAGTTTACACTGCAATGCAGAAATAGGCATATAAAAATCTCTATATTGTTTAATTTCACTGTACTTTTTCAAAAATTTTCATAAAGAAATTCCACATTGGGGGATGGTACTCTTTACCAAAAAGAATACCCACAACACAACACAAACAAGGAAACCCCAGAGAACAAAAAATATGAAGGCATCCTTACTGGATAGTCAGAAAGCTATAATGGAACAATTGTAACTTTTTTTTTTTTTTTTGTAGAAGCCTAATAATTGTGGGCTTAAAAAAAAAAATTACTTTCATCATACTGCTCTCTGCTAAGAACAGTACTTCACAGAGAGTAGTATTAGGTTGTTTTAAGATTTAATTTAAAAATAATAATATGAAGAAAGGTCAAAACAATTTTTTACTTCATTTCATTTCATGCAGAAGAGTTTAGTGCAAGACTTTTGAGATATCTGACCTCCTAACTGGATACTTTAGAAAAGCAAAACTGGTCAAATTCCACAAGGAATGGTTCTGAAATACCAATTCTCACAACAGAAATAAAGGAGGGAAAGATGTGAGAAAAAAGTTAGAAATGGTGTGCTGGTTTCAACAACTGATAGCATAAGCCAACCACCTGTTTACACAAGACTTTGTTCCTCAAGATGAGAGACAGTGTAGATCAGACCCATTGATGTCCACATCCACAGTCAATACCTGGACCTACTTTTTTTTTTTTTTTTAATCCTTTAGCAAGGCTAATGAAGCTTTGGATAGGAGCTGAGGTTTTATAGAACTGGTATGATATCCTTCACTACATTCCTATTACATTAAAGAAACAACAGTGCTTCTCCAAATCTAGTGGCAAAAAGAATTTTTATGATAAATTTTAAAACTTCAAATACACCCTACGTGAAAGGTAAATATCAGAAGTCTACAGAAATTACCTGGAATGAAAGGAAGTTATGCTGTTTTAAGTTTGTCTTCCTGCTTACTCACTAGAGACAGAATTACAATGCATTGTAAGGCCATAAAAGTTACAGTAAATTCAAGTTCTGTATCAGCAAATTCACTGAGCCCTACTGTGATGTACTTTTCTGCTGGGACTTTACTCCTTGGTAGCATTACTGAGCTTGGCTTCCTTTACTGTCTTGAGGTTTGCCAGCCCAAATTTAACCTGACAAATTTCACATGCAAGAAAAGATCAAGAACACACAAGATTACCTGAGGGCTTTTAGGCTACACCTCATCCCACCTTGAACATCAGTTGCCCTGAATTCACTGAATTGGCTAATTACAGTTCTAACCTGAAAAACATATGGTTCAAGTGGACAGTAAGCCCACATTTAGTTTTATTTGCAATTGAGTCTCCTGACAAAAGAGGTTAGTCAAAAAACCAGTCTTAATCCAAACATCTGAATTTGCTTTGCCATTATAGTGAAGGACAGGCCTGAAAGAATACAAATTCAGCAAAAGCCTAAAATTACAACATAAACACAAAAAAGCTAGCAAACAAAAAAAAGCAAAAGCTGTCATCTGCTTTATTCTGTCTAAGCACTGCTGTCATAACCAGATTCAAAACCATGATGCTACTTTCAGGAGAATCTGAAACCCAGACAAATGAAAATTCAAATAAGATATGGCAAAGTAAGGTCGAGTAGTTCAGCACCTGATATTCCATACCATTTTTCCATCAAACGAATCATTACTAGGATATATATTACATTCTTGTTTTTCTCCAATGTCTACATAGATGGCAAATGCATGCCTCACAAAAAAATACCTGCAATTACTTGTTATAGTGTAATTAGTGAACGGACAGAATTAAATTTTTAGGGGTCTCAGTTGCTTAAATGATTACTACACTGATGTTGCTATATAACTCATGTCACACTCGGGAAGCTTATGACAACTGGACTTCTGCTAATATGCAGCTCATCTGCTCCAAGTAACTTGTTTTATTTTCTGCCTGCAAATATTTCATCTGCAAGTTTCAAATTCTAAAGAACATTTATCAGAGCTCAGATTGTTTTCCATCTGTTCTCATTTCTAGTTAAGGAAGGGAAAGATTCTTTCACTAACAGTTCATTTTCATTACACTCAAGGATGAGATCTCTGTGGGAATTACACTGGCTGGCAATATCCAGCTGCCATCAAACGCTTGCTGCTGAGATCGGACACATTGGATAAATGCATCAGAAATTATAATCAGCAAAAAATGATAGATATTTAAAGTTTCCTGAAGGATGATCAAAGTGTTTTAAGTGAAGTCAGACTTGACTACTGTCAACTAGGAGCTTCTAAAAAGCAAGATTTTCTCATATTACCATTCAGTAAGGCCCATTCAGAGACATTATGGCACACTGTCCTGGGCTGTGTGCACGAAGACGCCCTTATATCTTATTTTCTTTCCTCCTCAGAATACTAGTATCATATAATAATAACTATGTATTAAGAAGTGAAAAAAATTTACTTACTTTTGTGCACTTACTAGACAAAAGCTCTGGTAACTTAAAAATATTTAACAACTTCTGTGTCTTCTACTCTGTACACACAAATGTGTTCCAAATATAGCATATGTAAATTTGGCACTCAGTAGTAAAGGTCACAGTGTTTGGATTTAGGGAGTACTTGCAAGACAAGGGCTAAAACTTCATAAAAGAAACAAGACTGGTGAAAAATGCAAAAAGATAGGACACTGAGGTCAGACAGTCTGTGTTTTCCTAATTCAAACATTTTGCTTTTAGTATCTACATATATTAATTGTTCAAATGATGATGATACTGAGTTTATCTTTGATCAGAAAGACATCTAAAGGTTTTGCCTTTTCTATCCATGCAGCATCCCCATGCTTTCTGTGACTACTGACTCAAAGCATGTTCTTTCCTCATCTTCTTCACCCTCTCCACTACTCCTAAAGACTTGTGTCCTCTTAAAAAGTGGAAATGTTTCTTTGGCATAGGTTTAGAGAGGAGCTTTTCTCTGTACAGATGTGTGAAGTATTTGCATGTTCTGAAATTATTTAATGTCAAAATTTCATTCTCAAAAGGGCCTAAAGAGCATTTAAACATTTTTGAAAGTGAGACTTGCCATATAGTTCCACATCTTCTCTTTCTCTTAGAGGAATAACATAGGTTAGTATTTATTTAAAAGAAATAGAACTTCCGCTGCCAAAACAAAACAAACAAAAAACCCCAACCAAACACAAACCACAAACACCAACCCAACACTTTTACAGAAAATATGACATAAATAAAAGGAAATTAAAATTTTCATACTGCTTTCCTTGCATGAAAACTTCCCAATTTGAAAGGAGAAGAATATGCATAATTAATTCCATCTTTGAGGTTTCTCTTTACAAATGTTGTTAATTCACTTACAAGCAGTAGAGACACAGAAGAAAAAGCATTAGGAACAGTGATGTAGGCTTTCTATATAAAGGGATGTGTTCAGGTATTTCAGAGTAAGTGAGAGATCTTTTCTGTGCAGCCCAAGGTTAGGTATGAATCTCACACCTACACTTAAGTTTCAGAGAAATCACAAGCCTTTCAATCCCAATATCTATTAAAATGAACAGTACCGACAAACTACAGCCTCAAGCAAAATGCCCTCCAGATTAGTACCTGCATCATACTGACAGTATGTGTTCAGACAAGTTTGCCTTTCCCAGTGTTTCATAGCTGCATCGTAACATAAACTGATGGAATTACATTTGTTACATTTACACAAATAAAAATCCTTAGCACCTGCACTTAAGTCTGAAAGTCATACAAACCATATGAATGATATTCCAGAGTGCTGGAAGAACGTAGGAATCTTGTAGAGTGTGCATCTCTCATTTAGATGCCAACAGGAATTTCCCAAAAACTGAAAAACCCAAGAATCATTTTAATAATTGTTACTTTCCAAATCAGTTGCAACATCTGATTTCAGTGAAAACTTATTTACTTTTATGAGGGATACATGCAGGCATCCCAAACCCAAACAAGTAAAATTTCTGAAATATTTGTTCATGGAGTTAAAGGATCTTCTAATTCTTTTGTTTGTTTATTGAATCTATTGTAATCTCAGGATAAGTATATAAGTATATAATAATCAGCCCTGAAATAGGTTCAGTTTAATTTGCTGAGTGATTAAAAGTAAAAGCATCTTAAAAAGGATGCATGGCCTAGGATATTGGTAGGGTGGAGATGAGGAGAGCCAAACATTTCTGAAACACAACTCATTCGCTTGTTTAATTTGTGCATTGTCCATATGATTCATACATTGGGGATATTTGCTCGAGGCTATAGCTAATGGGAATTATTCTTCATTACCAGTGAGTTGGAAAAATTCAGGCATTCTCTGATGATTTATTTAACTGCAATTTTAGTTTGCCTTCATTTTCATGTCAAGAGAACTTAGAAACCTAGAGTGTGGAACCAGCTAACGATTTCCCATTACATTTTCAGAAAGTAAAAACCTAAGTACTGGCTTATGGACAGTGCACATATTCTC